TGGAACTGGTGTGTTTCAATATCAAGATCTCACATCACAACATAACCCAAATACTGCTGACCCCACTAACAATAACCCCTTACCTGAAGTCAATACACCGAATCAAGCAAATAGTCCACAAAATCCTAACCTGAGTATGCCAGATATCATAGAGCCTCCCCCTCCAGTTGTTGAAGCAGGTTCCAATGTAGACCATGACGCTGAAGATATCCAACCAGACTCAGAACCTGCTGCGAGTCAGGCTAGCCAAGGCCCAATGGTACCCGAGGACACAAGCAACCTGCAACCTTGGGAAATCCCTGTTCCCGATACTGACGCAGAGGGTGCCGATGCTTTAATGACGTGCCAAGATGATTGGGTAATCCATAAGCAGCAGTTGATTAGACGGCATCGAAATCCACGATATCGATTGTTTAATCCCATGCTGGTAGAGGAGTGTCCCATAAATCCTGAATGGCTATCCAATCAACGAGTCACCCATGTGGAAGCTGTACATGGAGGTTCATGGAAAATCCAAGATCAATGGTATGGCAACATTCAAGCTCACCAAAGCCTTCCCAATCTATGGACTGGACAAACAATTTTTCACATAAAACCCCAATATGAGAACCAAATATCAGAACTTCCAGCGATCAATACCTGCACCGAGACTGCCATCGCAGGGCAAGAAATTGAGATTGCCCTTAATGTGGAAGAACTTGAAGCCTGCATGCGTCAAGACGTGCCAGAGCAAATCGCCTTTCTAGCATCCGCAGCGAAGCGCCAAAGAGCTGAGATCAAGGAGAGAGACCTTTCTCCATCAGAAATAAAACTCTTCCAAGGTGCCAAGAATAAAGAGATTCAATCCTGGTTATCCACCGAAACAGTCAGGAGAATAGCTCGTAACCAAATTCCAGAAGAACAGATTCTCCGTTCCCGGTGGGTACTGACTTGGAAGCCTGTGGATCCCACCACTCAAGACCCCAATCCACAACCAAAGGCTAAAGCTCGTTTGGTTATTTTGGGTTATGAAGATCCTCAGTTGGAAGCACTTGCCAGAGATTCTCCAACTATGGGAAAGGACTCTCGGACATTGATTTTACAGTTTGCTGCCTCCGCAAAGTGGAAAATCCGTTCCTTCGACATCCAAACAGCCTTCCTTCGAGGAAGTCGACAAGATGGTCGAATTTTAGGCATGGAACCCCCAAAGGAAATGAGATCGTTGATGAACCTACAACCTTGGGAATGCTGTGAACTCCTAAAGAGCGCCTATGGCTTAGTGAATGCACCACTTCTTTGGTATGAGGAACTCAAGAATGCCTTACTCAATCTCCAATTCAAAATGTCCCCTCTTGATCCATGCACCTTTGTACTCCCAAAAAAGGACGGTAGTGGTATACATGGAATTGTTGGGGTTCATGTTGATGATGGTTTGGGGGCCGGTGATGAAGTGTTTGAAAACGCTATTGCTCAGCTGGAGCGCAAATACCCTTTTGGAAGTAAAAAGGAAACCGATTTCATTTTCACGGGGATCCATTTGTCACAAAAATGGGACGGTTCCATAGAACTTGACCAGACACAATATGTAGAAGACATCCCTGCGATTGACATAGATCGCAAACGCCGACAAGAACCTGATGCTGAGGTGACAGAAAACGAACGACAGGCTTTGAGAGGCCTTATTGGCAGTGTGCAATATGCCGCAACAAATACACGACCAGATTTATCCGCCAAACTTAGTTTGTTGCAAGCCAAAATCAACAGTGCCACAGTCAAAGATCTTGGAGATGCCAACCGTTTACTTCAAGAAGCAAAAATCCACAAACATACAAAAATCACCATCAAAAGTATTCCCCTACATGATGTCAGGTTTGTATCCTTTTCTGATGCCTCTTTTGCCAATCGTGCCAATTCGCAGTCGCAAAAAGGATGTTTAATCTTAGCTTCATCCAAGCACACAGGTGAATGGCAAGCCAGCGAGATTAGTCCACTTCTGTGGTACTCCCGAAAGATTGCCAGAGTGGTTGGAAGCACCTTAGCATCCGAAACTTATGCACTGAGCGGATCGGTCGACCTTTTGTCCTGGCTTAGGATCCATTGGTCGTGGCTTCTGAAACCATCAGAGGAATGGAAAAATCCGGAGAAATATTTGGCCCAATCTCCTGAAGCTTATGCGGTTGTTGATTGTAAGAGTTTGTACGACTTGATCCAAAAGACCAATGTACCTCAATGCCAAGAACATCGGGTCATGTTAGAAGCTTTAATCATCAAAGACCGAATCAAAGAAGGGATTGTAGTGAAATGGGTCCATTCTGCTGCACAGATGGCCGACTGTTTAACCAAAAACATGGACGGCACAAATCTCCGAAAGTTTCTCGAGAAGGGCCAATGCATAATCCATGACGTGGATGAGATCCTCAAAGCGCGTGCCCACCAACGATCCAAAAGGACTTGGATCGAACACCAGCACTCCAAGCAACCAGAGAAAACTGATTCCCAATGGTAACAGTTTTTTGTACTGATGATAAATAAAAGAACTTGCACGAGAAATATCATCGTTGAAGAAATGAGTTGTTTCCTTAAAATAATCCTCATAAGCTGCCTTGTGGAGAATAGCCATATGAATTGCCGGATGAATCTAGCCGAATCACACTTGAAGGAAGATGACTTGTCCATTCTCGGGAGAATGATGCTTTACATCTTTCAAAAAAAACCATAATTTTGACGAGTGTGTTTTTCCAGACATCCATCTCCAAACATGCATGCTTCGATGCCTTGGCCGTGCTGTCGCATATCCATATAGGCTCAGGAAGACTCAGGGGGTCACGGTGTGTGCAAAAGGGCGTGGTTCGCCGCTTCATGGGTGTTGGCCAGGGACGCCACTAAATCGAGAAGTGTAACAAGTTTGGACAGGGAATCCATTACCTATCCTTGTGGTCAAGGACTTCTGATCAGGTGGTCAAGGTGGAAGATTTGGTTTAAAGGCCCGTTACCAGTTCAACAATATTCTATATATATATATTCTATATATATATTCTATATATATATATATATTCTATATATATATATATTCTATATATATATATTCTATATATATTCTATATATATATTCTATATATATATATTCTATATATATATTCTATATATATATTCTATATATATATTCTATATATATATATTCTATATATATATATATATATTCTATATATATATATTCTATATATATATTCTATATATACATATATATTCTATATATATATTCTATGTATATATATTCTATATATATATATTATATATATATTCTATATATATATTCTATATATATAGATATTCCATATATATATATATATATTCTATATATATATATATTCTATATATATATATATGTGTGTGTGTGTACTGTACCTGTATATGTATATAACAATACTGGAGTGTTCTTTTTAAGGCCTTTTTGGGATTGTTTATCCTTATCGACATTTCGACGTCGTGATAGCTTGCGACCTTGCTGGACATATCGGCGAAAAAGGTGAAAAATGTTGGCGAAAACCAGCAACTAGACAGAAAAAGAAAGGAATCATTGGCTATGAGATATCCCTATGATGGGTTAGTTCATGATCCCCAAGAAACCAGTTGGTATAAACTGTATACCACCAACCAGTGATTCATTCTGTACATTTCCAATGAGATTCCAATCATAGCCATCTGTCCATTTCCATTGAGATTCTATTTGTACATTCCAATGAGAGTTACCTTCTGGTAAACGTTTACATAAGTATGGAAAATCACCGTTTTTAATGGCTAAATCCACTATTTCTATGGCCATTTTCAATAGCAAACTGTTAGTTTACCAGAGGGTATCCTCTGAAAAATATGAGTTCGTCAGTTGGGATGATTATTCCCAATATATGAAAAAATAAAAAAAATGTTCCAAACCACCAACCAGATCATAGCCAACGGATTCTAAACGAGCGGGGGTGGATCAGCACCGAAGAAATCCTGCAAGAGACATAGCTATGGCAGCTATGGCACGGCCAACCCAGTTCTACAACCCAGTTCTACGCGTAACAGTACCTTCGGAATCCATTGGATCGAATCAGAGCAAATTTGGGTCCCAAATAGAGCACCCCAATTGTTCCCCTCAATTTATCATGATATGTTGATCATTAAAAAGCATGAAAAAAACACGTTGGACCAGCCATTTTGCAGCATATTCATCACCAAAATCTGGGGCGAGCGATTTTCCTATCCCATATTCAGCCATTTGATTGAGCCATATTTTCTAAGCTATATTTTCATCACCCTGAAACGACTCCGCCTGTAGCCATCTCATCCCGTCGCCGGCCATGAGCTCGGTGATGTCGCCACGAAAAGGCCGCATTTCTCGTGGAGTTCCATGGATGTTGATGGACTTTAGTGGATCTCAATGGATGAAAAAATGGATATCTGGTTGGTTGAATGATGGTTAATATACTGTCTTAACAATGGTCAATTTCTGAATGGTTATTATATGGTTAATGATCTTGAATAATATGGTTTATCAATGATTACTGGTTGGCGGTTGAGCTCGCCTAACCCAACCTGAAAAGTTTGATGGAGTGAAAGCCAGTTGGGATGATGAAATTCCCAAGATGATGGAAAAATGTTCCAAACCACCAACCAGATATTGTTGCTGGATTTCTAGTGGATCTGGATTTGAGTTTTGAGTTGTTCCAAACCACTGGATTTCTTCGGCTCCCACATCCATCGCCTGTCCAACATCCCAAGGTTCATGTTGGACGGAAGATCCCATGGTCCAAAAAATGACATTCCCCCTGCAGGATGGGGTCCCTGCAGGTTTGCTAAGTTGGTTATTTATAACATGTTTATAACTCTAATGACAATAGTGTATGATACGTATAATGAATTATATTTAGATGGGGTTATAAAGCAACGTTCACATCACTGGGTCACTGAGAAACCCACCATCCCCTGGCGCACTTTTGCAAATCACTGATGTGGCGTCACATCTTTTGAACATCTGCCTGTTCTGCCGCGCAGAGCCGCGTCAACCGCATCACCGTGGCCGATGCCATGGCCATCTGTCGAACAAAAGCCATCATTTCCTCACTGCGCCGAAGCACAGAGAAATTGCTCGCTGATTGTAGCATGGCACGGCCCAACGAGACCAATGATATCCAATGATCACCTTGAGTCACCAATGTCTCCATGGAAGAATGGCCTGATGCAAACTGCTTGATGCTGCTCTATCAAAGGATGGGGTTCCCGTGGTGGCCATGCCACACGCTTTTTATTTCGCGGCTGTTTCACCCGCAGTCGCGGCAAACTGCAGGGGTGTCGATCGAACATGTGGGCGAGAAAGTCTTGGGAAACCAACGATCGAAATCAACAGAATTCCCAGATCAGGAAGCCTATTTTGGGGTGCTTTCACCATCATGGCCGTGGCTATCATTTGCCTGTAGGTTGGAGCAACCTTGTAAAGATGTGTGCGCAAGGAAATGATATCAAACTATGTAGCTTTGCTGGATGCTTTCGGTCTTTTAACACGCCATGAACTGATAAGAGATACAACGATACCACCTACCAAAATAGCATTTCCGAAGGAGGCATCTGTGTTTTTCAAGTAGCGTTGGGGAACAAAAAACGATCAAAACATCTCAAGTATCTCTCCCAACCGGAAACTGCCAGCCCTCGTTGTAAGACACGTCGCGCACGCCAGCACGGCTCTCCGCGCACGGACCTGTGGGCCTTTTCCGGCAGCCTAGGTAAGTAGCCGCTGTCGTCACGCGACGACGGCAGCTTCTGCCAAGCGGTGTTCGCAAAAGGCAGCGTGCTGGCAGCACTTCTGCGATGCGTGTGGGCTCTGTTTGATCATGACCTGAATTGCATTCTATTCTTATATACTCAATGAGTACCAGTTTTGAAAAGGAATCAAAACTCTAAGAACTACTGAAGCCTGAAAGTTGACTTCACGGTTTACGGATTAATAGCTGATTGAATCTGAATTCCATCGTCAACTACCTGGTCAACGATTCTCTTTATCGACAGAAGTGTGCCGATGCGCATTATTCGTATTCCTATTTACAGAGAATGAAACAAACGCTGCAGTGTTCAGCCGCTGCGCACGACCATGACTTCACGGCTGATGTCAAAAAGATGGTGTCCAACTGTCCAACCAAAAAAAACCTATGGCCCGTCAGGCGGCAGCCACAGCTGCAACGTGAAACAAGGGAGCCTGCAGGAATATTCCTTGAGGTTAGCCAGGTGGTTACTATATGCGAGTAGCCCTTTCTCAGCATCTTTCAACTGGGATATCATGGGATCCCATGGGTTTCAACACCCTTGCCATGTAGCTAACCTCGGGGAACATCTGAGTCCAGGCCCGCAAGATACGATTTTCTGTGCGTCTGTGATTTCCGCCGTGGGCGGAGCAGGCATGGAAAACCAGGCACGAACTAAGGACGCCGCGGGTGCAAATTCTTCTGCTGGAATCATGCCACCCCGGCGGCCAAAATGACCGAAATGACCTCCCAAGTAGTTTCAAAATGATTTTTGAGAATGGTTTTTTTTGTTGAACGGTTGGATTGGTTTAGTTGGATTGGTTTAGTTGGATTGGTTTAGTTGGATTGGTTTATATAGTTGAATCTTGCAAAATGACCCAGTCTTTGGTGACCAAAAACCGTTTCATCTCAGCTCCTTGATCCCCTTCGCATATGTTGAGAACTCTTAGTGGGATATATGATATATGATTGGCAAATCCTTGCAAATCATTGTATATACAGTAACCACAAAACAAAGAAAATTGACACATGTACAGCAACCAAACCATCCAGTTGGAAGCTACAGTAAGTTCGCAACTTACAGAATCAGATGTTTGCATGCAAAAAATCGGCTTCGCAGGGGCTTCTCGCCAATCATATGCATGTTGATGCGGATCTTTATCGACTTTTTATGGTGTAAACCAACCCTTAGAGCTCCTTGAAAGGTCGCTCTTCGGTCAGGTATATTGCATCTCCACCTCTTCAGCTGCCACCATTTTCTGCGACAACACCGCGGCATCCCTGGGCGACCGCGACGCCAGGGATAGGCCAAAGCTGAGATGTCGGTGATGCCCGTTTGGAAGAAAAATCAGGACATCCACTTGAAAATATTGGGGGCACAAGTGCATCAATCTGCATCCCACCCAACCACAACAAGTGCTGCCCCAGCTGCGGTTTGAAGGCATACCCTCAGTGGCAATCTCTGGACCGATGGCTTCAACCCACACATGTCATCTTGAAATTCCCCCCAACCTGCTTGTTTCTTTTTTTGAAGAGCTTTGTTCAAGCTGGTTCAAGCCGTAAAGAATGGTTCAATCCCCACAACAAAAATCAGGTTGAACTTCAAAAATCAAGCGGAATGAAACGGATGCCCAACTGCGGTATCCAAGCGACACGGCAAGCCCTGGCTGCTGCCGCCAAAAGACAGCCTGGCGATGGAAAATCCCCAACTGAATAGGCAAATCATCTGTAAATGGGCCATGTTCCATAGCTACTGGAGGGTACACCTACTAAAATATGTGGCGTTAACAGCTTGTGACTAGCCAGAATTGCCGCCCCATGTCTTTGGAGCTCCACCATGCGAAAATTCCAAGTGCCAAGGTCAAGGTCATCTTTCGGCAAGGCAGAAGTCTCATGCAGGAAGGAACGATCAAGCAAACCAACCAGCCCATCTGAGCAGTGGAACAATGAGGAGATAAAGGAGATATGCTGAGGATATTTATGAAATATCAGGGAAATATAACCAATAATGAAGATATGTATGTGTTTATGTACCCTGAATGTCATTTCTATTTAATCCTAGTTGGGAAATGGGGATTGCCACTTATCCCATGAAACATGGATGGTGATCGCCAAAGAATAGGTAAAGTTCATGGGGCCCCCTACAGGATGGGGCCCCCCAGTGATGTGAATGTTGCTTTATAAACCATTCAAGAAAAAAACATTCACTAGTTCGTTATATCAGTTGTATCTACCATAAATCAGAGAATTCAGCCACTTTTTTCAGGCAACTGAACGCTATCCAACGGAGGCCCCATTCCTGTATCAATCACTAATATGTCACTAATATGAATGGAATGATAGGAAAGTACTATTCATCACCATTAGTCCAATTATTATCAACACACTAACTATAGTGTTTATAGTACATGAGTGAACTATGATAACCCCCATTAAACCATTAATTATCTCAATGGCCATTTCAGGATCCTAAAATGGAGGTACCGATTCCATATATAAGGCCTATTGTTCAGGCCTATTTTTTAGGGAATATCCCCACAAAATATGGCCAAAAATATGGTACTAACGTACCTCCATTTTAGGATCCTGGAGATCTCCCATTGATTATCACCATTATTATTAACACAATACTCCATATAGTATAACCATATGAACTATAGTTAACCATTAATTACTATATCCATTAATTATCATCATTACTTATCCATTAATTACTATAGTTAACCATATGTATAGAAATCATGGTGAACTCCCACAACTCCTCCGGGCCGTCCACCGAATCCCCCCGGGTCCACCGGGTCCACCTGTCCCAATCATTTCGGAGCGCCTGCATGTGGGACCGGACCCGTGAAAGCTAGCCAGCCTATCAACACTAGATATGCATATACATTTTATATATATATATGTGTGTGTATGTATGTATGTATGTATATATATATATATAGGTATATGTATGTATACATATATATATATATGTATACATACATATATATAAGCATCCTGACACAGATAGAAGATGGAAATTTCAGGAAAAAACTACTAAAATGTCAATAGCATGGGAACAAAAATAAACTCAAGCGCTATCCCCAACAACTTGAAAGCTTCCGCGTTTTTGCCATAAAAAGCGCTTGTGCCATAAAAATTGAGCGCTTATGCCATAAAAATTAAGTGCTTATGCCATAAAAAACATCGGAACAAAGCATCTGCACCAGAACCCTCCGGAACCTCACAAGGTCTCTGCACCGGAACCTTCCGGAACCTCACAAGGTATCTGCCCTGAAAACCCTTTAGAACCTAACCAAGTATCTGCACCGTAACCCTCCGGAATCTCACCGAGTACCTGCACCGGAAACTTCCGGAACCTCACAAGGTATCTGCACCAGAACCCTCCGGAACCGCACAGAACCCTCCGGAGCCTCAGCAGGTATTTTCACCGGAACCCTCCGGAACCTCACAAGGTCTCTGCACCGGAACCTTCCGGAACCTCACAAGGTATCTGCCCTGAAAACCCTTTAGAACCTAACCAAGTATCTGCACCGTAACCCTCCGGAACCTCACCGAGTACCTGCACCGGAAACTTCCGGAACCTCACAAGGTATCTGCACCAGAACCCTCCGGAACCGCACAGAACCCTCCGGAGCCTCAGCAGGTATTTTCACCGGAACCCTCCGGAACCTCACAAGGTATCTGCACCGGAACCCTCCGGAACCTCACAAGGTATCTGCACCAGAACCCTCCGGAACCGCACAGAACCCTCCGGAGCCTCAGCAGGTATTTTCACCGGAACCCTCCGGAACCTCACAAGGCACCGGAACCCTCCGGAACCTCACAAGGTATCTGCACCAGAACCCTCCGGAACTTTGTCCGGAACCTGGTGTTGAAGCTGCACCGGATAGCACCGGAGCTAATCTGGGCTAAAGACCTCATAGCAAAGTTTTGCTGTTGGGGAAAAATATTTATATGGATGTGGGTCAAAATGGAAGACCTAGGGGACCACAGATGTTAGTCTAGTTTAGTATTAACCATCCATAATTTTGGGGTACCTAATTTTGACCCATACCCATATAATCTATTTCAGGATATAGATACAGAAATATCATCGCCAACCATGGCGCCCCTGCCATATTCTCACTTCCCCACCTGCACACGGATTCATTGACCAGGGTTGTTAACCACCGTCTAACTATGGGTAGTCCCTTGACTGAGTGATTCCAATTAAAAACTGGAGAGTAACCCTGCTGGATCCAATGCCCGGATCATAGGAAATACCCCAAATCTTTGGGCGGCCCCAAAAAAAAATCGGCCACTAAACCAGGGTTTCGATTGGATTCATATCATGAAATATTGAATTGGATATGTATATAACTGGGTTCTGATTCCCTGAAATTCCCAGTGGGGACAATGTTATAATTAAGTGGATCCCAATTGTTAGGCATTAGTATTTGGTTGATCCTCGGCCAATTATAACCATATTAATACATCCAATTAAGCATTGTGGGTTGTAGTAAATTGATAAAAGCAATGATGATAGTGATAGTGATAAAAGAACAGGATACATAATATAAAAACAAGATAATCATTGAAAAAATACTTGTATTCTAAACTGTTAACTATACTGCGTTAAACACAATAATCAATCATGCCCAAAATCATCATTTTTATGGGTGGTATAAACTTATAAACGATCCCCAAATGGTAGGTATGAACTCTTGTCATTGTTAACTATTAAGATTATTAACTAGCTCTATTGGTTATTGTTGGTGTTATCATTAGCCAACTACTTCTAATGTTCTTGACTATTAGCAATTATTGTTATATAATATATTATAATTTTCAATTATATTACTAATGATAATCTCTAGTACTCTTATTATTAATAAGGCCCAATGACAATAGTTAATACCTGATTACTTGCAATAGTATCACTAATATCTAATTAATCCATATTCATATCTAATGAATATAATTATGTGTTATTAGCCAACTATTATACATATTTATTATTATCATTATTATTATATTATTATTACAAAACTAATTATAACTAACTATTGTAACTAACTAATATTCTATAACTAACATTCTATAACTAAATTCCAACTATAACTATAACTTATTCTATAACATTGATTTTAAAATGGAAGGATGACATCCCAAGGCGGAGCCGTCGGAGTCCTGCGAATCCCGTGCGGTGATGGCGCAGATCTGATCGATGGGAAGCGCCAGGAAAGGCTCCTTCGGCTGGCCCGGTACGGTCACGAGGCGAGCCGAAAGGCCGGCTGATCTGTATGGAAATATATGGAAAAAATTGAAAAAATCTGGGAAAGATCTGGAAATATGGAAAAATATGGAAAATTTTGGAAAAATCTGGGAAAGATCTGGAAAAACATAGGATTTACCAACGAAAAATATGGAAAGATATGGAAGATTTGAGAAAAAAACATTGGAATTACAAAAAAAAAGATGGAAAAAATATGAAGAACATATGGCAAGATATGGAAAAAATATTGGAGAAATGTGGAAAACATAGGATTTACCCGACATTGCTACTGAAATCATGGTATAACATATAATATTTAAACGGATTAATTGCATATTCATATAACACTTACCTTACATATACTTTATGGTATATGATATATATATATGCGCGAATATTGAAAGATAAGGACAGGTATGGAAAGATATGGAAAAAATACTGTACCCACATAGGAAGCTAACCAATAATTGTGTCACAACTAACAATGTAGAAAATCTCACATGTTCGATGGTTCACCTCCAAACATTATTTAAACGTATCCAATAACCTCTGATTATTTAATGTAGCGAACTGGAAAATGACAACTTCTGATCGGAAAATCATGATAAATCATCGAACTAAATGGGCAATTTTCCATAGCTATGTTAAACAACCAGAGGCTAACTAATAAAAATCTGGGAGTTACAGTTGATAGTAGTTGGTTTAAGTCTACCAACTTGGTTTAGGGCTAAAGATTGGATTTCTGCTATATCGAATTTGTTGATGTTACTGGAATTATAACCCAACTGTTGAGCAGTTCATAACTCACAGGCTCATCCCTTGAAAGTTTGAACGCTTCCACACCATCTCCATCGAGATGATTCGTGATCATTTCCCAATGTGGTTTCGGCCGGGGGTTGCAATATGTTGGGTAGACAGGGGGGGTTTGCCCGAATCTCAGGGCCTTCTTCAAGATGATCATGATGCACTGCAATGTGTCAAGATGACTAAAGGACGTGGAATCTGTCAAAAATGTCTATTTCGCTATAGCGGGAAGCGAATTTTCATGTCTTGCAATGAATCTGAGATCACTGCATCAATCATCTATCAATGTATACCATACTCCAAATCTCTGTCATCTCAACATGTGTTTTTTTAACAAAAAGACATGTTGGGATCGCGCGGTTCTGGTTTTCTCTGTTCAGGCCGATTCAGTGAGCCAAGTTGTATCCACGTATGCTTTGCTGGGATTAATTTTGTCTTTGACAAAGGCCATATAGCGCACAAAGGCATCCATGACCATTTCAAGTCCCAGGTTTTCGTGAATAAACAAGGCTGACAAACCAGCTATGTGCGCCGAATCCAAAGGCAAGCATGACAATTTTCACGGCAACATTCAACGGCAACATTCTTCACTCAGAGGTTCCCACCTGAGAGCGGGCATGTTTATCTGCATGTTTAAATATGGTTCATGCTAAACGACGATTATGGGGACTACTATTGAGGGGAAAACCGGCACACATGTTTACATATAAATAAATATAAAAATATATAGACAAATATATAAACAAACCCGATATAAGACGTGCAAGAGAAGATAACCTCAACGTAGCAGTAGATTCCACAGAAGTGCAAGAGAAGATAACCTCAACGTAGCAGTAGATTCCACAGAAGTGCAAGAAGATAACTTCAACGTAGCAGTAGATACCACAGAAGTGCAAGAGAAGATAACTTCAACGTAGCAGTAGATTCCCCCCCACCCCCCTGAACATGAACGCTACTGAACATGAACGCTAACACTCACCCCCACCCCCCCACCCCCCACCCATATACATCATGTGTTGACGCTAATGAACATGAACGTAACACTCCCCCCACCCCCCAACACCCCCCCACCCCCCTACCCCAAGATACATCAGTGTGACGCTACTGAATAGAACGTTAACACTCCCCCCCCCCACCCCCCCCTTCTGTATCTCAACGAAGAACACACATACGTTGGGCAAACCCCCCCCCGTCTACCCAATATGACCCAATATGTTGCAATCATGTACCATTCTACCCGAATCATCCAATAGAATAAACCATGAAAATCCATCGGAAAATTGCACCATGCAAAAATCTCAGATTGATTGATCCGCTGGAAAAGCCCATATTCCATCTCTAGCCCAAAACAGCTCGGGTCGAGAAATCTCCTCGAGGAGGGCGGCCACGTTCTCAATACCTGGCACGGAATCCATGAGGAATTCATCAAGGGGTGAAACCCAGTGAAATGGGAAGATTCGCTGACATTTTATTGGAAGTCATCATGATGAACTTATTGCAATATCATGCGATATCATTCATGGGAAGATATATCTTAAATGACAAGATCATGAGAATTTATCCATGGGAATATTTTTTTGAATATATCATGGGAAGGTTCTGGGAATATTCTCGGAATAACCTATATCTTGGGAGTACCGTGAAATAATGAGAAATTTATTGTCCAACAATGGTGTAACTCGGTGTAACAGTGTAACCACTAGAGTCATGGGGAAATTCTCGGTACCAATTGATGATGGCTCAGTAGGTTTCCCGAGATTTCTCGGTTTGACTTCACAAGCTATCAAGCTATAGGCTATGCAGGTATAAAAACCAACCTTTATAAAAACAACCATTTTATTGAGAAAGAATGGGGTCATACAATTTCCAGGTAGCCGTGATATTTTGTAGCTAGCTGCACGCAACAAGAACGTTGCACCAGTGCTTTCTCCTTCATCTTTGGCTGCACCTTTTTTCTACTAAAAAGCGGACAATGTCTAGGTGAAAATTTTGACTGGCAAACAACAAGTGAGTTGCACCAGGATCATCTGATTGATCTTTGGCTGCACTAACTTAGCCCAAAAACCGCACAATGTCATGGTGGCCACGTTCAGCTGCAACTAACAAGGGCGTTGCACCATTGCTTGCTGCTTGATCCTTGGCTGCACCTTTCTCGACTAAGTGCCGGACAATGTGGAGGTGGCCAAACAAAGCTGAAACAAACAATGGCGTTGCGCCAGTGTTTGCTGCTTGATCTTTGGCTGCGCCAACTTCCACCAGAAACTGGACAATGTCGAGGTGGCCACTTTGAGCCGCAACCAATAAGGGCGTTGCACCATTGCTTGCTGATTGATTCTTGGCTGCACCTTTTTCGACGAAGTACCGGACAATGTGGAGGTGGCCACTCTGGGCTGCAACGAACAACGGCGTTGCACCGTTGTTTTCTGCTTGATCTTTGGCTGCACCTTTTTCGACTAAGAAGCGGACAATGTCTAGGTGGAAAAGTTGACTTGCAAGAAATAAGGGAGTTGCACCAGTATGATCTGCTTGATCTTTGGCTGCACCAACTTCGACCAGAAACTGGACAATGTTGAGGTGGCCATGTTGAGCTGCAACCAACAGGGGTGTTGCACCATTATTTGCTGCCTGATCTTTGGTTGCACCGACTTCGACCAGAAACTGGACAATGTCAAGGTGGCCACTCTGAGCTGCAACAAACAATGGCGTTGCACCAGTGTTTGCTGCTTGATCCTTGGCTGCACCCTTCTCGACTAAGAAGCGGGCAATGTCTAGGTGATCATTGCGAGCTGCAGTAAACAATGTGTCCACCCCTGGGCGAACTCAGGCTCATCTGTCTTTGCTCCAGCCTCCAGTAACAGTTCCATAGGTTGAACATGTCCCTGCTCTGCAGCGTGAAACAAGGGTGTCTTGCCGTCTTGGTTTGCCTCATTGGGATTTCGTGGTCGTTGCAGCAACTGTTCAAGAGCAACTACATCGTTGTCTCTAGATGCCACGATCATTTTCTGTGTTTCTTTATCATCAGGTGGAAAGAATTCTAAGACCACCAGCTGAATCTTCAGTGTAGCCGGATCTAGAACTTCATCATCCTGGATCTCCTGCGAACCATCTTCAACAAACAATCTTTGCTTAAATCTGGAAACACAAAGCTTAGCTGCCAAGGCTTTCTTCACTGTCTTCGCTGTTTGGTCTTGCAGTTCATCAAGGACTGTGAGGGTCTCGCCTGATGTTAGGAAACACACCTCCATTGCTGCAAGATCTAAGGTGAAGTGCAGAACAAACAAAATTATATGTAAGTGTGTGTGTGTGTATGTGTGTCTCTGTCTCTGACTCTGTATATATTTACATCATAATATATATATACACACACACACGTACATACACATACCAGTAGTACCGCACAAGGCGGTGGCGGAAGTTTCAAAAATAGGAAACCTATAGGAGAGGTTGGTTGTTGTGAATCAGGGATGGCAGAGCGAAGCCACTGATGGATTGAAAGGTGCTTGATCTCTCTCACTCTTTCTCTCTCTTTCTCTGCCTATCTACCTACCTACCTATCTATTTTCTATGTATCTATCCAGCTATCGATCTATCTATCTATCTCTCTTTCTCTCTCTTTCATCTGTCTATCTGTCTATCTGTCTACCTGTCTATCTATGGTGCAGTGTCATCCAGTCTGTCTCGCCATCTATGTCTCCAGCTGTCCCTCTAACTATTTATCTATCTGTCCGTCTATCGATTTATCTATTTATCTATCGGTCTGTCTGCCCGTCTATCTATGTATCTATCTATCTATCGACCTATCTATGTGTCTATCTATCTGTCTATCTATCTATCGATCTATCTATCTATCTATCGACCTGTCTATCTATCTCTCTCTCTATCTATCTCTCCGTCTATCTATCTATCTCTCTATGTACCTATCTAGCTCTCCATGTATCGATCTTTGCATCGATCGATGTATCTATCTATCTATCTATCTATCTGTCTGTCTGTCTATCTATCTATCTATCTATCTATCTATCTATCTCTCCATCTATCGATCTATTGTAGTTGTAGTTGTAGTTGTAGTTGTAGTAGTTGTAGTTGTAGTTGTTGTTGTTGTTGTTGTTGTAGCTGTAGTTGTTGTAGTTGTAGTTCTAGTTGTAGTTGTTGTGTAGTTGTAGTTGTAGTTGTAGTCGTTGTTGTTGTTGCTGTTGCTGTTGTTGTTGTTGCTGTTGTTGTAGCTGTTGTAGTTGTAGTTCTAGTTGTAGTTGTAGTTGTAGTTGTTGTGTAGTAGTAGTAGTAGTAGTAGTAGTTGTAGTTGTAGTTGTAGTTGTAGTTGTTGTTGTTGTTGTTGTTGCTGTTGTCGTCGAAGTTAGGGTAGTTAAGTTAGTGAAGTTACTTAAGTTAGTCAAGTTAGTTAAGTTAATCAGTGTCTACTTTTTCGACATCAGCACGTCAAAAAAGGCTCAAAACCCTCAGTTTTTTTACACTTTTGACTTCGAAATGTGCTTCGCGCCACAACGGCGTGCACTTTTTCGACACTTTTTCGACATCTGAACCTCCAAAAGTGGTCCGAACATGGTGTGTTTTGTACATTTTGACTTCCAAATGTGCTTCGCGCCACAACGGCGTGCACTTTTTCGACATCTCAACTTCCAAAAGTGGTCCGATCCTCTAGTGTTTTGTCCATTTTGACTTGGAAATGTGCTTCGCGCCACAACGGCGTGCACTTTTTCGACATCGCAACTTCCAAAAGTGGTCCGAGCATGGTGTGTTTTGTACATTTTGACTTGGAAATGTGCTTTGCGCCACAACGGCGTGCACTTTTTCGACATCTCAACTTCCAAAAGTGGTCCGAGAATGGTGTGTTTTGTACATTTTGACTTGGAAATGTGCTTCGCGCCACAACGGCGTGCACTTTTTCGACATCTCAACTTCCAAAAGTGGTCCGAGACCGCCAGTTTTTAACACTTTTGACTTCGAAATGTGCTTCGCGCCACAACGGCGCGCAATTTTTCATCGCTCCTGTGGCCGGCTCCGCACCCGCCGCTTTAGCGAGCCTACTTTTCGACCCTCCGGAGCCACAAATCATTGGAAACACACAGTGTTTCGCGACTTTCCTACCTTTTCGCGCATCTGTATCTTCTGTCTTCTTACTCTTTCTCTTCTGATCTTCTCTCTTCTAATCTTCCTCTTCTCTCTGCCTCTGCCCTGCTCTGCTTTTCATCTCTCCATATTGTCGGAAGTTTGACTTCTAAACTTCCTTCGATTATGCATATGAGAATATATGTGAATGTATGTGTATATATATATATATACATACACATATAGCGGGTTGACCATAAGAAATTGGGTTTAATCTGTTTTAATCAATATGATATGATTTTTCTAGCATGTATGTATATGTATCACATGAATGTATTTATGTGTATATATATATATATACACATATTGTTATTGTTATAAATATACACATATACACGTATATTTATGCATATACCGTACAATTGATACACATGGATATGGTGTCACAACAGACCGGTTAAAGTGGTACACACAAACACAACAAACCTTTATAGTGACAAGCAATGCTATGCAGAATTTGGGACCGGTCCCTCCAAGTGGGGGAACGAAGGCCATTTTTCTTGATCTGCCGCAAGGCAAAATGGCTGAAAAAAAGCTTTGTGTATTCCTTGGCTTTTTGGGTCTCGCGTTTTCTTGTCAAAACATCTTCAAATCAGATTTAAGTACCAATTTGACAAATTGTGTCTTGTCAAAATCTCCCATTGTTTTCTCATTCGGTCACTCAAAAACTTCTGGCCGCTGAAAAAGTCTCCATGGGTCCAAATCGAAGGCCCCTTCGCAATGCCAGTCTGAGTTTAGTAGCAGTCGTAACCCATCTTTGGACACACGACATCTTTGGGTGAAAATAGTCTACCCTCTGGTTATGTCAAAATAGCTATGGGAAATGGTCCATTTAGTTCGTGGATTTACCCATTGAAAATGGTGATTTTCCATACTTAAACGTTAGTTTCCCAGAGGGTATCTCAACCAAAAAGTGCAAATATCAAGTGATACAGGGGCTTGAAACAGCCAACAGACATATAGCCCGAAATGGGGTAGCACAAGGACCCAAAAAAAACCTGGCTCGGATGTTGTACCCTTGTGCATGTATCTATGTCACATATGGGGATTATCGATCCTCGCATCTTCACCTGTTCTTCTGTCATCACGATCGCGGCTCGAAATCATCGAAGCCAACCGGTTTTTTTTTGCAAAAAATCATTGGATACTCCCCCAGTGATGGTGAAATGTTGCTGCTTAAAAGATTGGTTCCAAAATTTATTGAACCCCAACTACCTCCCCAGTAGATCACCAGAAGTGTGGTTCCAGTGCAAAAAGTGGAATGGTGCCATAGTTATGGGGTTTATAATCACGGTTATACCGTTATACCCATAAAAAGTAACCTCAACTGCACCCTCCAGCACCAAAAATCCCCATGATATCTCCATGATATCATTCCCAGCCGAACTCCCAGCCGACGCACCTAGCAGAGCAAAGGCGATCAGTTGCTCGGCCAACATGGTTCCCGCCTTGGCCGCGGCGGGATGATCGATGTGATGAAAATGGATACGACCATCTTCAATGGGAATTCCAGGATCCTAAAATGGAGGTACTGTACCATATAAGGCCATATTTTGTGGGGATATTCCCTTACATAGGCCTTATATATGGTAGGTACCTCCAATTTAGGATCCTGAAATGGCCATTGACATCTGGTTATGACTAACAGTTCGCCATGGAAAATCCCCAAAATAGATATATGGAGGTATTTTTTTGCTGGGAAAATCATCTATTTCTATGGGCCATCTATACCATGGCTATGTTAAATAACCAGAGGGTATATGGAAAAGAAATGGAAATATATGGGCAATTTTTGTGGATGAAAAAAATCTACAAATGTCTACATGTCTGAAAAATCATCCCAAAATTGCTTAAGACGGTTAAGAGAGATAAGAGAGATCTTAGACTTTCTTATACTCAAAACATAGAAATCAAGAGTCCAGGAATCGCCTGCTGCCCGTTCCACTTTTGCATCGAGTTTTCCCAGGTTCCCAAGGATCCGGACACCCAACTCTTGCAGAAGTCCCAAGGGCAACAGGATCAGGTACAAGAACAGGAAGCCTCACCATTGCTGAAATGGCTTTGTCGGCTGAACAAAATGGGCTATACCCTATGCCCAAAAAAATAGCTATAACTTATGATCTGGAAAATGCTGATCATCAAATCTTAGGGTGCCCTATTTTCAGAACCCAAATGTGATTGAACCATCGAAAATTTAGATTGGACCAACACAAATGTTGATTTAATCATCAATAAACTGGGATTTGGATGGATTTGGGCAAAACTGGAGGGTTCACCTGCAAGTTGTTGTAAATCACAAACAAAATGGATTTAAATATCAAAAAATAATCAGCAAGACTGGGATGGACGCCAGGGATTGCCTTGGCCATGTTGGATGTGTTTGAAGCCACAGAGGGGTAGAAATGCGGAGCTTCAACCGACAAAAACTATCTTGGGCTCAACAGTGGTAGTTCAGGATTTGAACCAGCACAAATGAAGGATTTGAAGCAACGCTAGTTACGGTGGGGGATAATAAAATTAATAAACACTTTCTCGGATACTCATACCGAAATAATCAATTATATAGTACAATTAAGAGGATAGATACTAATTACTTGAATGAGCACAATTGGATCAATCAAAATGAAATGTCAGCAACATCTGTAAGAAGATTCACCAACAAAACTTGGGGTGAAGAAGACAAGAATCACTAGCAGAAGTCACCACAAATACCCCGCCTCACAGAAGAATCATTTGGATACTTGGTCAGCCTACTAAGAAGATAGTGTGTTTTTAGTGGTTCCAAAAAGGGTTCCTCTGCCGACATGATTGGTCCTTTTGTATTCACACTCGCAACAAAGCATTGGCAATATTGGGTAAAAGCACTAAAAGCAAACCACAATAGTAATAGTCATAGTTCCATAGACTCAGCGTAGACCAAGAATAACATCATCAACCAACAGAGACCAAAAAACTTACGCGTCAAGTGGGCGTTCATCATCCTTAAAGCAGCCATATATAACTTAGAAAATGACAACGGCCAAGCGCGTGGACCACATGTCTCTGACACCGGAACACAAACTTTCGAAATATCTTTTTTTTCAGGTGGGAAACACAGAAGACCTGTTCAGCTGGTTGCTGGTTGCACTTACCATCCAAGTTTTTTTGGGATTCACAATGACTTAACCCATGACATTAGGAAGCAAAAACGAGATCCCTATTGCTCCCTCCTTTTAGGAAACAAATGCCATGTTCAGTAACCATTTCCCAACCTTTGCCACCCAGGTATGTTGACCCAGATATCCGCCAGGTTGCGAGTGGTTTGCTTCACATAGGCCATAGGGATCTTGGAAACAGCGGGAAATCTTGGAGAGGTCTCTGCGCACGGATCGAACGAATTTCAAGAGCGGCTATCGAACTAAATATGCCGATCTGATCGTGGTCAATCTGATGATGACGACACATGATGCAGTTTGTCAAGTCTAAATTGCTTTGCATTTATGGGGCCTCATTTATGAGTAGTGGACCGTCATTGTACCCTCCGGCAAGGGTGGGTTTTAATCCTTCTCCTTTACACAAACCGGGGAAGATGCCCTATGTTTAAACGTTTAAACACAGCAGTTACCAACAGCCGCTGGTTCATTGAACTGGACCTCTGGCTGAGCCCGGGGCAGGTGACAGCTCTTCACACGAACCGACGATGTTGGACAGTCTAGACCTCTAAAATGCATCAGCCGCGACCATTGGATCCGCTCTCTTCGACTCCAAATAGATTGAGGGCCCAATCATAATTCTAGGCAAACTACAGGGGGTTCGTCGCATAAGGAACCATTAATGGTATTTTTTAATGGTAGAACATGGGTATACAACCTATTAATCACATGGAATAAACCTGAGGATTCAACAAATTCAGAAACCCAAATGCCTGGACTATTGGCACCCGCTGGGTGTCGGTACCGGAACCTATGTATACTTAAATTTGTGTAACGGATATCAATCGATCCAGTTCGCACCAAAAGTTGGTCTTCCCCAGCCAATTGATCCTTGTCCATTTTACATCATTTTACCTTTTTGGCTAATTCAGGTCAGGTACGAAGAACAAAATATAGAAATCACCACAAATGTGATGTTCCCGCAAACCATCAGTCTATGTCACAGGTTCAACTAATAGTGTGCACCATGCAGAAAAAACAAATGATGTGTGCCACGGCTTCATGGTGAGGAAATCTGACTGGAGCAGATGCAATTCTTCCTATTGATCTGGGTAAATTATAATATTTCATTAAATTTATCCATTTATCCAGATCAATAGGAAGATCAATATCCATGACCTATCTTTCATTAAAATGAATTAAGGCCATTTGGGGATGATTTCAAAAATTCCCTGATTAACCATGATTCCAGGCTTCGGTCACGACGTGAGGTCGTGATGAAATTTACCCACAACTTGCTGCGACTCGGTCCATAGCCTGACGAAATGTACGTTATAATTTACCCTCTGGTAAGCTAACATAACTATGGAAAATCACCATTTTTAATGGGAAAATCCACGTACTAAATGGCCATTTTCAATAGCTATGTTTGTTTACCAGAGGGTACCCAGATTGATGATCAAAAAGGAACAAGTATTTTTCTGTGCTTTGCACCGTTGAGAAGAAAGAAGTAGGCGAAAGCAACCAATGTGTGTCCGTCGGTAATTGATGGTTCAAGACCCTGGTATCCTGAAATTCACATCCCAGAAGAAAAGAATCGAATAAACGATTTGATCATGCTACCCCTTTTGTGTTTACCCTCCAAAAAAAGCAAGGCTTTTTTGACTTCCCCATGTCTAAAAAAGATGGATTTCGAAAAAAAATGAGGTTTTCGGAAAAAAAAAAAAACATAGATTTCCCAAAATTTAGATTTCCCTTAAAAAAATCCCCATAGATTTCCCATGGTTTTCTCCCATGGTTTTCCGATGTGTTCGTTTCGAGATTCCCAGGTGAAACCACTCCGCTCCACCGCTCCACTGGGCCGGCCACAAGGAGTTGGTCATTTGGAGCCGGTCGTCGTCGGGCAACTTCAGCCTGGTGACAATCGCCTCAGTTGGGCCATTCGAAGTCGAAGTTTCGCCATATTTGAAGACAAAGATTGGGAAAAAAATTGGGAAAAATGGTGGTTTTAGGCCATTTAATGGAAAAAAATGGGAAAAATAGTGGTTTTATGTCATTTAATGGGATTGGACCATGGAATTTCAAGGGATATCATAGGAATACTATGGGACATGATAATCAAATGGAGGTGTCCCAATCCATAGGGGGGTACCCCTAACACATCTAAAACATTGGACCATGACTTTGTATTGTTTCACCCATGGTGACTTGAGAATCCACCATTTTCGGAAACCTCCAAATGGATAGTAGCCTGATTACAGCAATCTATACCCCCCCAAAACATGAAGATTTCAACAAAGATTCGCCCTGACTTTAAGCAAAAACATGCAAAAACCCAACCATCATGGGGAGGGTCACCAAAATGTGGAGGGTTGGATCCAATCAACCAATCTTAGATGGCTCATCATTTAGAAATCATTTAGATCTGTTATGTCCATTCTATCATATTCTATCCCCCAGTGGGAAATCCCAACAGATGCATAATCCACATTTATCCCCTGGAAAAAACCTCAATGGTATACCCTCCTGTCACCGAGGCACCGTCAGCCGATGCAACACGAACAAAGGTGCCGAGACGCCCGCGGGGCGGTTCAGCACCTAAAAACGACCAACAAAACCTGGGAGAAAACTGGGTCACTTCTTGGACGACAATCAGAAATGGCGGTTCTTGGTATGATGACTTTGAGAAATCACCAAAACTAAAGATGTCCTAAAGGCCCTGAGACTTCACCGCAACCCTCCAAGGGGAGTGTGATAATCTAAGGGCAGTACTAAACAACAAACCAGACTTACTAAGCCGTTGGCGGCGGCTAACTGGGACTGAAGCCACTCAGCGGTGAACTGCTGTCAGCTTATTTTCAGAGCAATTGCAACCCCATAATCAAAGACGGCCATGGCAAATCCTCCATGACTTCCCGTTTAACATGGATTTTTCATTTGTCCCCAATAAACCAGATGGTGTTTTTTTCCTGGTAATCAGCTCCATGGCTAGCCGAAAATCCCCTATTCACTTCGATAGGATTTTTCCAGCTAATTAGAAGCCTCCATTTGAGCTGCGATCTACCCCTGCTTGATGATTATATAAGGGGATTACCCTCTGGTAATTTAACGTAGCTATGGAAAATCACCATTTTCAATGGGAAAATCCACTATAAATCACCATTTTCAATAGCGAACTGTTAAATTACCAGAGGGTATACTATACCCTTCATATATTGGGGATGATTTCATCCAACGAGGCCTCCGCAATCTCCACTTCTGTGAGGCCGCCGATTTCGGGGACCTGGCGATTTGCCATGGACCTGCCCTGAAAAATTGGATTTTCATGGGATTCAATGGTGATTTTATGGTGATTTAATGGGATTTAATGGAAACTTGATAGTCATTGGATTGGTTTAAGGATTTTTTGCAGGAAAGCCCAAAATTCATAGGAAAAATCATGGTTTCCGGTTAAGATTTTCCCTCCAATCCAATGACCCCAGAAGATTAGATGTGTTTCCTGCGAGTGTTCACTACTGTTGATCTAGGTCATGCCACCAACAAAAAGTTGGTGGCATGATGGTAAGAATTATGAGATCCAGGAAAAAAAAAACTTGGGTTTCAAGTTCCACCGATGGTGGCTTCCCAATTTCGCTTGAGACAGGCACTGAGAGAATATGATCTCCATCATCTCATCTCACCCATTTTGGTGCCGCAGATGCAGATCATATGAATCATCCCACCAAAAAGCCCCCACCTTGAGTCATGATTCTACTAGCTCAGTGGTAACAAACCACCATCCCCATGCTGTGAATCGTGTTTGTCAAAGCCCAGTGCTATCCAATTCTCGAGGCTTCAATCCGCATCCGCTATGGTGAAACCATTAGGGTGAAAACTCCGAGTTACATTCCCATTAGAAATGGTTTCACCATCTGGTTATACCATGGCTAATTGGTGGGTCATACCCATTAAATTGATTGGTTGGTGAAAATAGCCATTGGCTAAATATTCTAATGATTAATTAGGGTGAAACCAATCAATAAGGGAATGTTTTTTGTGAAACCAATCCACCTAACCAGATGGTGAAACCGAAAACCAATTCCATTAATTAGATCCATTGATTGGTTGGGTCATACCCAATGGATACTACCATCTGGTTATGACTAACAGTTCGCCATGGAAAATCCCCAAAATAAATGGATGCATTTTTTGCTGGGAAAATCATCTATTTCTATGGGCCATCTATACCATGGCTATGTTAAATAACAAGAGTGTAATTAACGCAACCAGCTACTACATGGCTTGATACTTTGAACGGTACCTCAAGTCAAGCACGGCTTAACCATAATTAACCTATACTAAGTTATGGTCTGACTTGGAGGATTTGGAGCCAAAAAGACTTTTCGGAAACCTCCTGAATGGTGGTAACGGGTTTGATGGTGAACCCCTCTGAATCAAAGGCTTTTGTCAAGCCCTGAGTCGTGATAATCCCATGAGATGTTCTATATGTTTTTTTCCGGGAGGCCCGAGGCTGGAGCACCTGAAAGATAACGTTTTAGTATATTATCACCTATTAATCCCATGTATTTAATCCTCATGATCATCCATTGATATTATCCATTATGTAAGATTAATCCCATGATAATTATATTATCCTCATCAATGTCATCATTATCATCCCACTATATATAAACATGTATATATATATAATCCCATAATATTATCACTTATATCCTAAAAACATATATATATATATACACATATATACGTGTATATATATATATATTGAATCCTCATGATCATCCCAGAAAATAATATGGTATTTAACCCATAATCTCACATGGATATCATTTCTCATCATCCCATCATTTCTTATTGTCCCACTAGATATATTCTAATCCCATCATCTTAGTGGTGCTTAGTAGGGAATGGGGGGAATGGGATGATTCTCACTGGTGATTATGGATCATTCCCTCATTCCCTGCCAAGCACCAGTAAATCATGATCATCTCATGACAGCATTTCTGGACCCTTCCCGGCCTCATGTGCTTCATGATCCGGGCCCCGACTCTTCCGCAGCTGGCCCCGCAAGCTGCGCGGGTCGCCGTCGCGGCGCAGGTGCCAGAGCAGGGCCGCGGGGAACCTTGGTGAAACCGGTTCGAAAAAGAGGTGATTTCACAGTCAAAAAGGGTTTAACATGGTTTAATCATGAAAAAAATGTGGTTTCACCGACCAAAAGGGTGGTTTCACTGTGATTTAAGCATCGGAAATACCACCAATCATTGGGGTTCGTAAGCCCAAAAACTATACATAGACTCATAGGGTCTCTACAAGAACCAGCTGACATTGGGCGCATCGATTCATTGATGAAATGGCGCAAATGATAGGGTTGGTATATTGCGTATCTGTCTGTTTGTCTATCTACCTACCTACCTACCTACCTATCTATCTATCTATCTATCCATCCATCCATTCATCCATCGATCTATCTATATATCCATCTCAATGTGTATATATATATATACTGTATATATATAATACTGTACATATATATATATACTGTACATATATACTATCCTAATGATGGTCAAGGGGTGGCTTTATTGTGAGGAAAAGGATTGCAGTGATGGACCTCACTCCCACGATGATTTGGTATTTTTAACCAAATTTACAAGTGGCATACAAGCTTAGTGATTGGGTTCAACAACCCGAAAACGGCACAGTAGCTGGTGGACCGGCCCATGACAGAAACTTGGAATTGCAAAGAAACAACTCGGTGTGTGATCAGCAAAACGGGGATGGGGAGCTGACCAACACATATTGAGAGAATTATTATTAGCTGGAGCTTATTATATATTATCTATATTAGCTAATAATAATTATTTATTTACTAACCAATTAGTATTAAACTCCAGCTGGTACTTCACCACCAACTAATAAGTGTTAAATCCGTGAAGAACCTGGAGTTTAACCCTGGAGGATGCTTCGAGAAATCCACGTGACGCGGGAATCCAACGAGCCAACTCCATGAACTCGTCTCCTGAAGTCGCGCGAAAAAAATGGGACGTTGAGCGGAGGTGTTGGCGGATGAAGATCATGATTTTCATAAATCATAATGTGAAGCCATGGTAAAAATAGTAAAAATAAGGATATAATGTGTATGTGCATATATATATATATTATTATATATATATGTGTACTGGGTTTCACCAAAAAGAAACAAGTCCATAAAATCATGCTATTGAGCCAAGAAGAATCATTTGACCAGCACACAAGTAGAGGTGAGAGAGGTGTGAACTAACAAGTCAAAATGGATTCAACCAAGAAAATGGTAATAGAAATCATCAAACATCTGTCATTGCAACCTTTATTCTTAGTTCTGGAACCCACTATAGAAATATGTGGTTCTATGGTTCATGATTGGTAATGATGATAGTGGTGATAAGGAATCTTACTGATTGATTGATGGTGACAGTGATGCTGTGATGCTGTTGCTGATGGTGATAGTGCTCCTGATGGTAATGTTGATGGTGGTGATGGCTATGACGATGATGAGGATGAGAATAAGGATTACGATATTACGATGAAGAGGAGGATGGGGATGTGGACGGATGATGATAGATGAACATTCAAGAAAGATGAAGAAAGCAATTCTGGCAACAGTCGCACCCTTCGCATCAACATGTCACATGCGACAAATCCATATTGATCCTGTGATTCAGATTGGGAAAACCATAGGCCCAATAGCAAAAAATCCTCCATGCTTTTTTCGTTACAAAAAAATGGATCAATTCCTCAGATCCTCAGTTTTTTCTTGGCAAAATTGTCCATATTTTTCTTTGTTGAACACTCCATTTAACGTCCCTATCTGTCTCATGCTGCCGGCTGCGCCGGCCAAGGCTCTTCGAAGCTTGTCGCCGTAGTTTTGGTACAAATTCCTGGCTGAAGTCGTAGGACACTTACCGTAAGGGAAACTTGTCCAAACAATCAAGGAGAACATCCCACTTTTTACAGCAAGTGTACCCTCTGGTAAACTAACATAGCTATTGAAAATGGCAATGTATGGTGGATTTTCCCATTAAAAATGGTGATTTCCATAGTTATGTTAGTTTACCAGAGGGTACCCTAGTGTAAATACAATGGTTAATCCATAAATATTGGTTAATCAATGGATCATCAACCAGCAAAGGATTTACAATTGCCATGTTTATACCCTCTTGTAATCAAACATGGCAATTGTAAATCCTTTCTAAATGTAGGTTCAATGAAAAAAAAAACTATAAATGGTTGATGATCCATTGCCATGTTTGATTACCGGAGGGTAGTGGGAAAATGGTGATTGCCCATGAGATTGTGTGACACCCTACTTTCAGTCAAAGCCAAAGACTGAAAAAAAACAGGAATCATTGGAGATTTCAACCATCACCAACTGGAGGTTAACTGTTTATTGGCAAAAAAACACATATTTCGATGATCAATGGCTCATATTTCGGGGTAAATCCCCTGACTATTGGCTGGTTCCCCGACTTTTCGTACTTCAACGAGGTTTCTTTTTTTGCTGCTTCACTGCCATTGTCAGGTTGCTTAAATCCGAAGTTCCCCAGTTTGGGTGCAGCATCTGTTTATCCATCTACCCTCTGGTTATGACTAACATAGCCATGGAAAATGGATGAAAATGGCCCATAGAAATAGATGGTTTACCTATTGATAGCATGGTGATTTTCCATGGCAAACTGTTAGTCATAACCAGGTGGTAATTTAATGGGTATGACCCAACCGGATCTAATTAATGGAATTGGTTTTCGGTTTCACCATCTGGTTAGGTGGATTGGTTTCACAAAAAACATTCCCTTATTGATTGGTTTCACCCTAATTAGTATGTCCCCCGTTGTTCATCATGTGGCCCCCGCTCCGCGCGCTCCTGGAGATGTTCAGAATGTCGTCCCACAGGTCCCTGGCGCGAGCGAATCTGGTGCGCGACTGCAAGGCTCTGTACCTTGGATCCATAGATTCAGCAAAAAGGATAGCATTTCACCACGAAAAATGAGGATTCAGAAAGATGTGCCGAATAAAAAAAGGAGTTGCCAAGGAAAATGGAGGATTTGACCAAGAGAGGATATGATTAAGAAAAAGTGCGATTTAATTTATTTTTAGTCAAGAAAAATGGGACTCTTTATGGAACTGAAAATTTCACCATGTTCTTGACAGCGCCACTTAACGTGGTTCGGGAGCTAATGGTAAAATATGGAAGCAAAATTGAACCAACTAATTGACTATAGAATTGGAAAAAATGGACTTCAGCCCCATGTTACTGTAATCGCAAGCCTTACAAGGACGATTACCCATTACGCATGGGACTTGATGGGCGGGTCGCAGTTACAATCCAGCAGAGTTGTTGTGGGCTCCCAGCAGTTCCAAAAGTTCAGAGGGAGAAACTTCGAGCCATGTGGACTCGCCTGAAACTCCAACTCGTGCCCCAACTTGATACCCTCTGGTAATTTAACATAGCAATTTTCAATGGGTAAATCAACTATTTCTATGGCCATTTTCAATAGCAAACTGTTAAATCACTCAAGCCCAAACTTGATCTTCAAAAATAGCCTCTGGTAAACATTCACAGTTCGCTATTGAAAATAGCCATAGAAATAGTGGATTTTCCCATTAATAGCATGGTGGCTCTTTCCATCGTTTTTTGTTAACGTTTACCAGAGGGTATCTTGGGAGTAGAAAGACTTAGATAGCTGGTATCTGGGGTTGCAACCAGAGATGGTCCTAAAAGATCCATCGATTTTTCAAACCCCAATAGAACCGATATTCCATTCATTCCCATTCTAATATCCGCTATCTATCTGTCTGTCTGTCTGTCTGTCTATCTATCTATCTATCTATCGATCTATCTATCGATCTATCTATCTATATGTGATATCTAACTGATATAATGTAGTCAATCCAACAAAAATCATGTCATTAGTCTCCGGATGATCCTGTTCATTCGGTTTTACCCCCCCTTCTGACATAATCCTATGTAATATCTTATTTGGGACTAATCCTACAATCCTTAAATTCTAAATACCTATACCTACATATAATAATCCTAGAAATAATCCCTGTAATACGTTAATCCCCTTGCCCCGGGCACAACTTGTATATAAAGTCCAAAAAAAAGAATGCTGAAAAATGTAGATCATGTATTCAAAATATTCGGATTTATCTATATTTTCACTATATAACTATAGACTATATACTTATTATAGGATTTATAACCATTTACATAATTTTATATGTTTTATGGTATCTATACCTATACTTATTTATACTTCTATCTGTATGTTCACTATATTTATAACAATTTAGATCCCAATCCTACCACCCATAGATTCCGCCAAGCCAGAGGCACGCCAGCAGCAAACCCAAGGCCACGAAGCCGAAAGTGAAGGGCTCCCCGGGCAGCGTCAAATCCGGGGCTCCTGGATATGGAACGAGACGCGCTGAGCTCAGCTGGGTTGATGGATAGTTTCCGGGTGTTTCCCCAAGAATCTGGGATGCTTATCCCAGATTATACTGTATACATATATGTATGTATACACATTTGTATGTGCATATACTCAGGTATAGATGTAATATGTACAATTATTGGTTTTTGGATTACATGTCGGTATTTGGTGCATGGTTCCTTCGTCCACTGAACTGTTGGGAAGACGGATGGTTTCCTCAAGTCTTGTCGGAAGTTCCGTGAATCACCGCGACACCCGGATCCTCTCGGAACTGCATAGTCATCATAGAACAATGCCGCCTTAAGGGCCGCAGAGTCTCGGGTTGTGGCCAGCGTCACAAAAAATGGAATCCCGAAGCCGGATGGATGAAGCCATCCAGGTCACACATCCTTTGCAAAATCACATGATTTTACCACTCCAGTTAGATTGAAATTCCTCTTGACATCTGGAGGATTGAGTTTGGATGTCCAAAATATGAATATCTTTGGCCGTACTTTGGTGACTTTCACATGAATTGCCAGTGGTTGTTCTTCTTGATCATGGGTGTAGTCCACATACACAATCAAAACCATGTCTTTTCCATGATGTGTGTACACCAAAAAAATCTGATCCCCCAGGAACCTCACTGTCCAATGCCAAGATGCGGCTGACACCAGATTCAAAAGCAGAAGCTGGCCTTGCAACCTGCGATGCGGGTTGCGATGCGGGTTGCGATGCGATGCGCTGCGGTGCAGATCTTCTGGGTACTCATCATGGACCTGTGAAGATGTTTGGAGTATGTTGAGTGTAGCATATGTATATATATACCTAAAGATAGAGAGAGAGAGAGAGATTTCTTGATGTTTCTTGAACATCCTCATGGTTTCTTCCAGGTACCATTTTTTGGAGGCTGCCTGCCATCCAAGTGTTTTCCAGTGGCCTCTGCAGAACATCCAAGCCAGTCACGGCTTTCACCAAATCCACATAACGGCCATCTTGTTGGGTGTCCTCCCATTCCTGGCGCCACATAAATCGGCGAAAAATCCTGACCTAAATTCTGAGGGCTCAGACCTATCTTTTCACGCGTAGATTTCACTAGATCTCACCAAAAAATATGGGCTGTTCAACCAACAAAAACCTTGGAAGCAATTTTTCACAACTGGGATTTGCAACAACAAATGGCAGTGTGTCAAAACCAATAGTACCCTGTCAAAACCAATAGTACCCCTTCTGTTCACATCAAAATAGCTGGGATTTATGGATTTATGGATGTTCATCCCACTAAAAATGCTATGTATACGTATTGATCCATAGCCAAATAAATGAGGCGTCCAAGCAACAAAAACACCAACGGGATGTTCCAGGCGTCCAACCCTCCCATCGTTCCAGCATAAAAAAGGCACCGAGGTGCTTGAAATCCAAAGGGCTTCGAGGCGCCGCTGTTTTGGCCTTCGTTTCCGTTCCAAGCTGGGATGGTCAGCTTCTGATGAAAGCTGGTACCCTCTGGTAAACTGTCCCATAACTATGGAAAATCACCATTTTTCATGGGAAAATCCACTATAAATGGTGATTTTCCATAGTTATGTTAATGAAAACAAGACACCATCTGGTTATGACTAACATAGCCATGGTATAGATGGTTCATAGAAATAGATGATTTTCCCAGCAAAAAAATACCTCCATTTATTTTGGGGATTTTCCATGGCGAACTGTTAGTCATAACCAGATGGTAGCCATTTTCGAGGCACAGACATATCATCAGCAAAGACGATATGTATGTGAACTTAGTCAGTCATCTTTTTTCTCCACCCCCAAGGAGGAAAGAGAAGATGGGTCGCTGGGTCGCACTAGGATTTACCCCCAATAATTTTGCGGACAAAAATCGAGACGATTGCTAATCTGCTAATCATCAAAGCGCCCAAAAATTGGGTAGCAATATCCAATATTCAAGAGAATTAAGCGATATACCTTAATTATTCATCTATGCCCAAATTTTACCCAAAAAATGAGCAGTAACCATTCAAGCAACAGCTTCAGATCAATAGGAGCTAGTGGATTTACCCACTACCGTGTGCATATCATCAGGATAGTCCAAGAACCCCCAAAATAGTAAGTGGTTTGTGTGTGCAACTTAAGTACCTCTAGAATTCCAAATGATCGGCCAATGATTGAACTCTTTGTGGGTACAGTTGGTGAATCTATGCTTACCTGGCTTGGCTTGCTGCTATGTAATTTTGTGAAGCCTACATTGTTTTGCCTACTCCAAGCAGCTATGGCGACTAGATTGGAACACCAGTGGTCAGTGGATCTAGGCCATCCCGCGCGCAAACATCCACCCCGGGCCCCGCGGGTTCTGCGGGTCCCCGCGCACCTGTTTGGAGAATGAAGCGATAGAGCACCATGGGCGAGATCACCAACAGCAGGTCCAAAAACCTGAGAGTGAAAAACCACGAGCAATGCTAGCGACGCCCCCCGCCATTGCGGTGACCCCAACAAGGTATGGACCCATAGGAGGCTGTGAGGCTTGGGAGCAAATCAAGTGCTGGATTCAGATCCCAAAACTTACTGGTGCTTGGTAGGGAATGGGGGTTGCTGGGATGATTTTTTTCATAGTCATGGATTGGATCATTTCCCCATTCCCCACGTTTAGCACCAGAAAAACAAAAATGAATCACTTGGTTTAAGAGTTTCAGGGTATTCCCAGCTCCATAAGGCAGTGATTTGTTCTGTATGTGCTTGGACCAGGAAGGGAAAAAAAGTCAAGAGGCATGTCTTGTCTGTTTGTGTACATATCCGTATCCCTTTTCTATGTGCACTGGTGTCCACGAAGCACATCCGTGAGTGCATTGAGCATCGCTGAGAATAAGTCATGATTGGATCAAACTACACCAAAAAGACCTTCAGCTCAGCTAGCACAAAACAATCATACCCGTGCAGGTCAAGCGAGGTGTACAATTATTTATCAACAGTATGTATCTATAATATGTATAAATACATGTGGATATACTGTATGTGTATATATATATATATCCATATGTATATTATGTAACATTGATGTACAAAGTCGCGTGTGCAATTGCATGTACAAATCTGCAATTCTCACATGCAAGGTCCTACGCACGTAAAAATGGCAAAAGCAAATAACAAGAAAATGGTTTGTCTGCAAACGGGGTACAGTACCCCAAAACCTCATGCATTGTCCTCATCTTTTGCATGAAAACAGCCCCTAGCCATTCTGCCATATCCCCACTTTCAGACAACACACATTTCATAGTGTTAGTTGTATGCGTATCCCACTCTTCCCCCATTCTACCCCCATTTATCCCCAGTGTAACCCCACTATACCCCTATCATATCCCCATTTTATCCTCATTATATCCAACCCATACCACGCAACAGGTTCAGATCCTCCGATGTTGCGCCGGCAATACCCAGTGCTTTGCTGGTAAGATGTCCGGAACGATGTGCCTGTGACGACTTCATGATGTTGAGAGAGTCAAGTGATAAACCTCACCAGCCTCACCTACATGTTTTTTTGCATGTGTGTACCCTCTGGTAATTTAACATAGCCATGGAAAATCACCATGCCATTAATGGGAAAATCCACTATAAATCACCATGTTCAATAGCTATTTTGACATAACCAGAGGGTATGTATGGCAACCCCAAAAAATCGATATCAAACTTAGAAACCTGGAAATATGCCGAAACAGATCACCCAAAATATCACCATCCTGGTGGCACACTTTTCTATCGGCATCGGCAATTGGGAATTGCTATGCACACTGACTTACATGTATACCTGTGCGATTGTGATATGTGAATATATATATATACAGTATATATTTATTATATATATATATAAATACAGTATATATTTATTATATATATATAAATACAGTATATATTTATTATATATATATGTGTGTGTCTCGGCGTAGGAGTCTAAATGTCTACATCTCTCTGTATGTGTTTAAAACAAGTCAAAGCCTCACAGTTTGGTTCAAACGCAGCTGAAACATGCTCCATTTCATCATGGATAATGATCACTTCCATGATGATTTCACTTGAGTTGAAAGTTTACAAGGATAAGATATGTTCACAACTTCGTGTCCTATATTCAAAACTCCAGATATAGTATAACATAGTCGTCTTTTACTAAGTCAAACTTTCTCTTTTCCAACATATTTCACTGAGCAAAGATGACCCCAGATCTTCGGTCACCTGGAAGGCCGGCCAAGTTGATCCAACCAACACCTTGGAGCGAGGCAGATGCTTTTCTTTACTGCTTGGTGGTAGACCTACCCCTCTGAATAATGATGGAGTTCGTCAGTTGGGATGATGAAATTCCCAATATGATGGCCAAACCAGCAAGAAGTGGGAGAGTTGAAGGGACCTCTGACGTTTTTCCGACTCATTTCCAGAAAGGGGATACAACCTTTACAAGACCCTCGAATTGAGCTTTTTTTGCACATGCCGAATCTATATTTAACCATCCCAAATCAAAACATAATCATAATCTGGACAAGTGGTGAGAAATCGCGATTGATAAAGCCCAGGTGGTCATCATTTCGTTTCTGTTCCCTCCATTTCTGCAGATAAAAACAATCTTTTGGTAGGTTCTAATCCCTGTTTTTACAAGAATTCCCCAGCAACCCCCAGCCCTTGAAGTGGGAGCAAAAACGCGGTGAAAAAGAGCTTGGTCACCTTACAGAGGGGCCATGGCAACGCGTATGATTCTACCACCAGGCAGAGGAGGGATGATTTTGTGGCGCCAAGCAGCTGGAGCATCGGTCGGTGGAGCTCGGGTGGTTTTGAGCATCAAGAAACTCCAGGTAGTACCACACAAGGGACACATTGAAATGCCAATCAACCTGGGCTAAGCGAAGCATCATCTCAGATGCAGTTGGGGATGTTTTTTAGGGGCCCACCAAATGGATGGCGCAAGAACAATGTGTTCCTCCTAATACTAAACACCACCCAATCAAAATCCGGATTGGAATCAGACCTATTCATTTTCGGGCCGAACTTTGAGGAATATTAAGTAATAAATCTGATCGTGGTGAGGATTACTCCAATACAAGTAGCATGGTGCACAGCAGCGCGTTGATAAGATCGTTGATCATCCCCATCATCGAAAGTGGTCAGTAACTAGTAACCCTGACCCACATCATCCTCGCGCCCATTTAAGGAAATCATCCAACAACCTCGAGGCTAGAGGTGATGTTTTTTCAAAGTGGGACATTTACCAACAGGGAAGGCTATGGATGAGACACCTCAGGATGAATCCCCCAATGATCGAGGCACAAGAGTGTCAACATCCGGGAAGGAACCTGGAAGCGTTCCAGGTGAGGAAAAAAAATGCATGGAAGTGCCCACTAGTTCCAAACCATATATTGGTTCGGTTTGCGCATGACCTGCTCAAGTGTCATCCTCCAAGTGTCATCATTGTCCGGTCAACAAACCATCAAACCAATGGCGAACGCAAGAAAAATTCAGAGGCCACTGATATATGACTATGACAGCTCTCTTTTGCAGAGACCTTTTTGAAAGCACGAGTTCGACATGTTTCACTCTTCTACTAAGGGCGCGGCAGAACGTTTCCGCAACAGCATCTTTTCAGCTGCAATCAATCCGGATGCAATTTCACTATTTGTGGTTTCCTGTTTGATCCAAAAAACAGCTACACCGAGCGCTTGCGAAGCATGCAGGAGAAGAAAACATGTACTTCACCAGTATAAAAAGACGACAGAGGATTTTGAACATTGCAATCCTCCAAAAAAAGTGGAAATGGCACGAGTCTGAGGAAACCACCAAAAGCGCACATGGAACACAAGATTCTCTGTCGACTGAAGTGTGAAAGTGTGTCAACGAAATTGATCGCCGGACCACTTCTGTGAGAATTAACATGGCTACAAATTGTTGTAAACAATTATGTGAACAGAAACACATGGAACACTACTTGGAAACTAAGACAGAACAATCGAACAAAGGTTTTGGAAATGATTACTGATTACTTTTCTTGTTCA